TATATATATATATAGATATATATATATATATAGAGATATAGAGATATAGAGATATAGAGATATATAGAGGTATATGTGTGTATGTATTAAACCTAATATGCCTATTTATATATAATTGTACATTTTTGTGGGGGCGTGTACTTGAAGGCACATTTGCCTGGAGTACTACCTTAAAGAACTGTGATGAGATGATGTATGTGTGTTGTGCTTTACACCTGGTTCAGTGTTATACATATGGTTTGATTTTTTTTTTCCTTCTATGGAACAATAGTGTTTGTTCATGTTGCACATAACTTACTGTGACTAACTTTGGCAGGAAAATCTGTGTACATGTCTTATCCTGCTGAAGTCAAGCGAGCAATGGAGCATGAAGCTCAAATGCAGAATGCTGCACGTTCTGTTTCACCGTACAGGATGTCTCCACGAGAAGTTAGCAAGGCTTCCCCACAAGCAGAGTACAATCCTGTCCGCTACTGTGTCCCTCCAGGTACTTGCCTGCTCACTGTATGTATGCTTCCTGTGCTGCTAAAGCTGTTCTGCCTTCCTGTGTTTGTGTCTGTTTAGGGGGATGATTCAAATTGGGTTATTCTCTAATGTAAACCTTTCCGTGCTCTATAGATTTGTTTACACTTTTATATTCTACTGCTGAATTTCCTATTGAAGAAAACAGTTCTAGTATGAAATAGGTAACAAAAATATGGAGAACTTTATAGGTCATTATCTCCTCCTTTTGTGTGAAAGCAACTAATAGTTCAGTTGACCATACTGTGAAGTAAATAAAGCTGGTACAGCATTCACTACACCCAAGATTTCAAGAGAATTTATATCCAGTCAAAGTGGGCTAAAATGAGCCAAAAAGCCCACCATCAAAGGATAGGATTGATTTGTGGATATGGAGCTATGGACAAAATATAACATTGCATTATCAAAGGAGTTTTTTGTTTTCCTGAGTCCCCCAGTAACTTGGTTTTATTATCTGCTGGACCCTGCCTGTAAATCATTTTTGCACTTCCTTTAACAGGCCTAGCTGCCCATTAAAAATGGCAGGTACAGGGGTTGGGACAAATTGCATAACAGAGGTGGGGGGCACTTGCAACATTCAGCTTTTAATCACTGTATATGGCCTAAACCTTTTTTTTTTCCTAAGGAAAGAAAACATGTAGAAACATGTTATCTGGAGTTCTTGTTTTTATTTGTTTACCTTTTTACTTTTCCACTTAAAATTCCATGTCCTTAGGGTGACAGTGCTGCCATGCAATTTTACTGCAGAATGAACAGGGTTGTTACTCTATTACAGGATATGGGAACAATAAAGAGTATACTAGCTGGATCAGCAAGTACTTTGTTACAGGGGGACACAGAAAAACAAAAATTGTTGTGTTCTTGTTGGGCAGTGTAATTTAAAATCATTCCTTTATAACCCTGAGGAAACTGTGCATCCAGATCTGCCGGTTTACAGCAAAGATACAGCCGAATACTAAAGAGCTATTTATTATAAACTACATACAGCTGGTTCAGGTTGGTTGATAATATGAATGTTTACCCAGACAGGTTAGGGTGAAGTGGGCTTAGAGCAAATCTATACAAATTATACAAATCCCAGGAGGCATTACAAGATTCTCACAGCCACAGACATGACTCCCGGAGAGAGATGCATCATGGGATTTGAGTTTCACCACAGCTGGAGGGCCGGCGTTTGACTACCCCTGGCTTAGAGAAACCAAAAAACCTGCTGCAAAGCACAGTTGAACCTTATGGCGCTACAATAGTCTTTTTGCTCGCAGTTTTATGGCAAAAAAAGGTGCAGCACCTTTCACTAAGGTGAGAAACAAACATTTGTTAAACTGATGAATGAAGTGATGATATGTAAACACTACTGTGCTTCACTGTTACTTCAATTTTCCAGAAAGGTGTTCTGCTTTCAACAAGTTGAAATCATTTTAACTCAAATATAGTTTCTGAGCATGATTCATGGTTAGGACAGGATGTACTTTGTCATATCAGTTTAATTTACATTTATTGTTTTTATAAGTCAGAGACCTAATAAAAAAATAAGAGCTGAAAGAGTTTTATTCATTTTGGGTAATCTGGTGATACATTATAACTCTGATATACGTCAGAAATTAGGCTTTCATTCTCTAGACAATTGTTTATTTAAGGCTTTTCTTTTTTTCCTCCTCTCTCTTTCTAGTGTTGCAGCCTGCTCCACATCAGGTAATAACTTCCTTGGCAGAAGGAACACGTCTCTCTGTGACGCGTCCAACCCGTCCACCTCCCCCTCTGATACCATCATCCAAAACTACAGTGACCTCCTCTGACAAGCCTTCTTTCATTGTGGGGGGATCTATATCCCAGGTACGTCAGGCATGTTGATACTTCTAGATATTGTAGATAATGTTGAAATACCACTGGAGAAATTACATGTTTAGCATCTTCACTGAGAGGGGGGGTATAAAAGCTGTCATGAGGCAGAGCAGTGCTAAACTAGGTCATAATGTTCTCGCAGTGTGTAACGTGGATATATTTCTAGTCTTCTCTTACAACGGTAGCAAACTAAGACTCTGAGGTATCCTCCTGCCCTGCTGTGGACATGGGTTTTCCTGAACTTACAAAGCATATTCAGTGGTTGTATTTGTTTTTCATTATTCTTACAGCTAATTTTAGATAACACCAGCAGATAAATAAAACTGGACCATACACAAACTGGTTGTTCGGCACAGAGAATTCTGTAGATATATACTCACATAATGCTTGAGAGCTCCATACTGCTGATTTTCCATTACTAATGCACACCCCCTGCCCTGCCATTAGTCATGTTTAGAAACTATGGGTATTATTATAAATACACATTTACGTCAGCCATGGATCCTTAGAGTAGAACCGCAGGTACCTTCTTTTGGATTTGCTAGCATGAAACACCGACCGATGGTTCTGTACATTCGTACGACTTTTGATGGTCAACTTGTTTGGCTTCTGTAATTTTAATTTGCATACCTTGAACAAGTATGCAAGCACTTAAAGTACAACTAAAGGCTCCTGTATGGCCATTTACGCAGGCACCAAATCCAGTTACTATGTGATTCCTATGCCTGTTAAATAAACAAAAACTTCCTCTACCTAACTACCCTCGCTGTCTGAGCCAAAACTTCCTTTTGTCTTTGAAGGTTCTCATTCATCCAGGTCATGGTATAGCTGTAAAAAAAAATAAGTTAAGGCAACTGGGCGTGCTGTTTCACTGGATGACCGAAATCCAAAAAACAGTGGGCAGAACTAGCTGTGCCAGGTGCTTATTGACAAGCTACAGAACTGTGAATCAGCTGCAGCAATGCTAATATCCACATCCCCTGCAACATTTTGTCATTTCACTGTAGTGCAGACACACAGACTACATGAGGGTGATGATACTGATCTAAATTCAGGAGCAGTGCAGCATTGTTGCCACCCCCATCACAGGAAGTTGCAGTAGGTGAACTTCCCTGGTAGGTTTAACCAGCATTTGTGGGACTTTGCAGGGAGAAAACTGTAAGTGCAGATGCATTTATAAGTAACTTCTGCAACATTCAGTTATTTAACGGGAGGCCATAGTTCTACTTTAAGTATTGAAGTCAAAGCATCTGTATGACAACCAGGCAACTAGCATTTTCAGATGTTGGCAATGGCAGCCCTTCTAATTCTGACTTGATGTGTATGCTTTTCACATGGGTTAAAACTAGAACTGTGTGGTGCCTGCTTTTTAGTTTTTAAACTTTACTGTTGACAGGTTTGCTTTAAGCCCTCATGTTGACTGTAGTAAATGTCAGCACTTAGGCTTGTCACACCCTGGTCAAAATAAGTAGAGGTGAAGGGTGTGCAACAAAATATGCGGTTACAGTGTATGTAATTACTCTTGGGGCTGATGAAGACACTGGTAAGAAAACAGCAGACATTGTACTAATGGCTTCTAGTACAGCTTGTAGTGATGTTTGCTTTTCCTGCATAGTGCTTTGGGTGGCCATGCCCTTGAGAATCTGTATGCCTTCGTATGTGGGATGGCCAATGGAATGAAATGTTTAATCATTTCTGTAATGATATTCCCATTTTCTCAGTAGTCTGGGTACATGTAAGGAATCTCCTCAGCAACCTCAAGACTCAAAACTGTACCATTTATACGTGTAGAAAATGCATGTCCTTCCAACACGTATGGCAGGGGTCAGCAACCTGCGGCTCCGGAGCCACATGTGGCTCTTTCATCCCTAGGCTGCGGCTCCCTGTCCAGGTGTTCAGTCCTGAAACAGCTGTGCGGTCCTGAAATGTCACTTTTGTCCGACTTTGCGAATGCGGTGGAATGTGAGATCGCAGTCACAGAGTCGTGTAGAAGTGACATTTGAGGACTGAACAGCTGTTCCGGGGAAGATCGGTTCTCTGCACATACGATTTGCGATGCCGATCTGCGATGCCGATCTGCCCTGGAACAGCTGAGAAAGCGTTGGAATGCTTGACCTATTGACGGTCACACATTCCACCGCCGAAAAACTGGGTGGGATTTCATTGAAACGTGTGACCACGTCACCGGTCACACATTGTAACGTAGTCACAAACCTTGATAGAACACCTCCATCAGTGGGGTATGGCCGGTACCCATGTGAGTGGTCTGGGCAGACTGGGGGGCCTCTTACATGAGTATCAGCTGTACCAGGGGCGGCATGGCAGAGGTGACTGGGAGGGGGTGGAAGAGGCCAGGCCTAAGCAGCAGCAGGTAAGAGGAGTTGGGAGGAGGTACAGGGAAAGGGCCCACACAAGGCCCTGCTGAGCCCACCATAGAGAGTCTCAGATGGTCTGTGCAGAATCTATGGTGTGCTCTGCAGGGTCACTCTCATGTGGGCTCTGCGGAGTCTCAGGTAAGCCCAGAGTCCAGTGCATTACTAAGCCCACATATACCTATATACATGCTATACATGGCATAAAGGTAAATAACGATATACAGCATGACATGGTATCTTCATTTTAGATGTCAAAAGGGTTTTGTGGCTCCCGATTTTTTTCTTTTATGTGGGAAACGGGTCCAAATGGCTCTTTGAGTGTTTAAGGTTGCTGACCCCTGACGTATGGGGATATAGGAAGGAACAGACCATATTACTATCCTATTTATACTTGTGCTGTATATACAATATTTTATTATTTGGATGTTTTTGCATGTTTGACGTTTATTTTTGTACGTTCAGGGGACACCTGGCACATACTTAACATCGCTCAGTCAACAGCCTTATAACCAAGACTCGGTTAAGTCCTCTGTTGGCTCCATCTCTCTTGGCCTGCCAAGGCAACAGGAATCTGCTAAAGCTGGTAAGTCTATTACATGAAGTGTGATTTCATAAGGTTTCTAAATTCATCACACTGTCATTGTTGAACATTTACAATGTTACAGTGTTTAGACAGCAAGAGGTGCTGGCCTTGTCTATGGAAAGTCCATGTGTCTGGCAAAGTTGTTCTAGTCTTTCTAGACCAGTGAAATGACAGATGTAATTCCTTGTTTACTATGGGCAACAAAGACTCTTCTTGCACAGGAGTCCAATTGTCACTTGCTACTTTCCTCTAAAGGAAACTTTGTGTCGGGGTCTGTTCTTATAAAGTGAGCATTGGGCTCTTTAATGTAAGCCTGGACTGGTTTAAAACATTTCTAAAGTAACAATGATGCAGAAGTACGAATCTGGTGCTACCTGCAAGTAGTTTTGTTAAGGTGCCCATACACCTTACGATTATCGTATGCAATCGACTTTTCGTACGACAATCATAACGTGTGAATAGAATGCCCGACCGATAGTACTGTACAATCGTACGACTTTTGATGGTCAAGCATGTTTGAAAACTTTGGTCGACCATACGATGTTCGCATGGTTGGTGTCGTTTCCGTCCGTCAAAAGTCGTACGATTAACACTGCGCATGCGCAAACGAAAATAGTTGCAGGCAATGGCCGCAAGTCGTCCAGGTTTTTTTTTTTAACTGCCGCTAATTGAACCTTGCGATAATCGAGGCAGGATGGGGCCGTCGTAGGAAAATCTGACGAACGGTTTCGTCCGATAATCCTAAAGTGTATGGGCACCTTTAGCCTTCAAATGCGTTCTTATCTCCCTTTGGATGTTAGGCTCAGGTTGTTCTTTCGGACTTGACTACTACCAAGTTAAGAGCAAGCCTGCCCCTCCTAATGCTAAGCTCTGCCCATGTAATGTATCTCAGATTTCAGAACTTTAGTTGAAGCTGATGACCTATGTACCGCCTGGGTCTAGGGTCTTTGGAGAATTACAAAGATAGATTTAGGACAGGTACTTATACATGTCCACACTGTTACCATAAAATTATTTAGCCCAGGTCGAGTGCTCAGGTTTGCAGAACTCAGAAGCAAGTCAATTACAGTTTGCTTTCAGGGTTCTGACATGCTTTTGACTTCCCTCTGAGCAGCTTCAATTTGTCTTCTCCTTCCTCCTGGAGCGTTTGCATTCACATTTACGTTCATCGAAAAAAAACAGCAGTTAAGATTAGGGCTGGTAATGATTAAAATTTTCCTGTTCGATTAATCGAATTTTTTTAAAATTGATTAATCGATTAATTTCGATTTAATTATAACGCACATACAGATCCAACTACATTGGCCTATACACATACAGCACAGCAATGAAGTAATAAAATGAACTAGGATCATACTAATCCTGCACGTTATTAATCTCACGTGCCCCACTAAATATGGCCGCCGCTTGAGTGGGGCACACGAGATTAATAACGTGCTGGATTAGTGTGATCCTAGTTCATTTTATTACTTCATTGCTGTGCTGTATGTGTATAGGCCAATGCCAGGGATCCCAACCTGAAATAAGCAATTTCAGGGAGGTGTCCCTCTCATTTCAGGGAGGTGCCAGTGCAATAGCAAATAGAAATCTAGCTATGCAATCGTATGCCTTTTTTTTTCTCTTTTCTGACTGACGGTCAGGCCGCGGCTCCCGATGTCAGAAAAGAAAGAAAAAAAAAACGATCGCAGGGAAAGGTTTAATCTGCTCGATTGAGCAGATTTAAACCTTTCCGGTAAAAAGTGTTTCTCTCCCGGGCGACTGGGAGAGTTGGGATGTGTACTCACCGGCCCAAGCGGCTCCATCGGGTAACGAAGGGAAGGGGGAGGGCCAACCTGTATGTGTGGTCACAAAGAGTTATGATCAGTCTACCTGCAAATGAATGATCTGTGGCAGTCATTGAGGAAGTTCGAGCTGCAGCTTAGAGACTGTGCTTACTTTCTTTACAAAGACAGCAGGTAAGGTTCTGCTGAGAAGAAATATGACATCTTTGTAAATCAGAAGTCCCCTGAACAACAATTATAGCTTAAAATCTCTTCCCATATAAAACACAAATCCCTAATGGCAGGCATAATCAACAAATACCCAATGTTCTTTTGGTAATTGCTTACTTTTTTCTATTATTTTAGAGCTTATGTCATATCAAAACTTTGCAGAAAGTAGCAGTAGACAAATTCACTCACCAGGGCCCTTTCTCATAATGACATGGAGATATTTTAATGTAGCCATCTCTCTTTCATCGATCAAATTATTTTGATCGCTCAAAGTTCTTTTGATCCGTACTCACCTCTCCGCCGGCTTCCGGTGTCTTCCGTCGGAGATCCGGTGAGTCACGGACATCGCCGTCACCGGACTCCTTCCACAAGTGGCTCTGTCGGCTTTTTAACGATTAATCGAGGGATTAATCGTTAATTTCCGCAGCCCTAGTTAAGATGCTAGCTGAGGTTAAAAGTGGAACGCAGGGCTTGGCAGAAAAAGGGTTAAATGTACTTACATTGTTTCCTAGGTTCTGTGACGTACATCAAGCAAGAAGAGTTTTCACCAAGACAAAGCTCCCAGCCAGAGGGGCTGCTGGTCAGAGCACAGCATGAAGGTGTTGTCCGAGGTTAGTTTTTGGAGGAGGCTCAAGTGTTTGCTTCATTACTAGATACGAATACTTAAGCACATAGACTCTGCCATGCTGATAACTAATGGAGCTTTCACCACACTGTATACCGTGTTTCCCCGAAAGTAAGACATCCCCCGAAAATAAGACCTAGCGCTATCTTCGGGGATGTCTGTAATATAAGACCTACCCCGAAAATAAGACCTAGCGCTATCTTCGGGGATGTCTGTAATATAAGACCTACCCCGAAAATAAGACCTAGCGCTATCTTCGGGGATGTCTGTAATATAAGACCTACCCCGAAAATAAGACCTAGCGCTATCTTCGGGGATGTCTGTAATATAAGACCTACCCCGAAAATAAGACCTAGCGCTATCTTCGGGGATGTCTGTAATATAAGACCTACCCCGAAAATAAGACCTAGCGCTATCTTCGGGGATGTCTGTAATATAAGACCTACCCCGAAAATAAGACCTAGTGTCTTATTTCGTGCAAAAAAAAAATAAGACACTGTCTTATTTTCGGGGAAACACGGTAGGAAGAATGTTACATGTTTGCGCTTCTTAGCGAAGATTCTTTTTTTATTATAACAGTGATTTGCCAAGGGGAGATCCTCATGTGGGAAGCACGCTACTCAGAGTTCATCTCAGAGTTACTAATTTTTTTATATCCATTGACACTTAAAAGGGAATGTACAGTGTTTTTGTGTGGATTCATGTTCAGGATTTTTAGAATAACTTTTTTTTAAATATTGTATATGGCTTTCATAATTACGGTTACCAACATGAACATGGGCAGCAGCTTGTGAAAGCTTTTATTAAGAGCAGTGTGTAGAGCAAGCATTTACAAAAGTTTTAACAAGTTTTGAGGGACTTTTTTAACGCTTCGAAAGCACCCTTTAGCTCCAGCCTGACAATTTTGAATACTCGCTGCTTTTATATAAAATACAGTTAAAGCTTAGGGTACCAATCGCAAACAAATATGCAAAAATACTAAATTAAGCAATTACTTCAACAACTTTTGCCCTTAAAGGACCATCTTCATAAAACTATTTGGAATAGAGAAACAAAACAGGGCCACATTTGTTCCCATGTTGGTAAAATAAAGTCTAGATCAACAACCAGGCATATCTTTTTTTCAAAAGGGTGCCTGCTGAATGTATGCAGGAATATCCCCTTTCTCAAGGATGTGTCCCTGGGATATGTTCAAGGTAAGTATTTGCAATAACACTTTCTTTCAACGAAATGGTAGCTTTTTGTCGTGCTGAAAAGCAACATATCCTCCTATCCTTTATACAATGGATATACAAAAGCAAATTCTATCAATATATCTAATCATAAAGACCACAACACAGCTATAATTTAATAACTGGGATGCCCCCTGAGGTAAGATGAGTGTAGAATGACAAAACAGCTTGTTAGTCCGGATTGGTACAGAGCAGTAAGCAAATATCCCTCAGCGACAGTTGTATGAATGTTTAGGAAGCAGATTGCTTCAGTGGATGGGTCTACAACTGCAATCCATAACAGATGGCATAGCTGACAGTGATGTCAGTATTAGGCAGAGCAAAACATCAAACAGATATCCATTAGCATGCAGATGTGTTCTTGTAAACAGAGTATAGAATTCTAGTTGCATCTCAATTGGTGTCATTATGTGTGCCCAAAAACAGTATCAACATGTTACAGTACAGCATTTGTTAAGCATTTGACTTAGTCAGTACCAAGCCTGAAGTCACAATAACCACATTGAACGTGGGCCCTGCTTTAGGATGTGATCACCATCCTCAGATATAAATAGTTATTAAAGAGACGTCATCAGCATTGCAAGTCACTATTGGTAATGCTTCGAAAGCAGAAAAAGGCACCTATTAAAGTCGGTGAAATCCGCATCAGTGGAATTGTGTAACAGTTTAGAAGTCCTAATACAGATATATATCACTAAAGGCAGCTGTGTGTCGGAGTTCATCAAAGATGAATGCCAGGCATACCGGTACTGTAAAGTGTTAATGCAGGGAGATGAAGTCGATTGGAGACACATCGGGGACCGTGTGGCCCAAACAGGATTGTTGCGTTTGTGGCGCATTTCCTCACATTCGGAGCCACCTTCTCAAACAGTCTGCGGTGACTGAAAACTATATACTGGACCTAATGAGAGTACTGACTGTAGTTTCTGTTCCCTCTGATCTACTAATGCACGCATTCCTTTTGTTTGCAGGTACCATGACTGCACTGCAGGAGGGGAGCATCACTAGAGGCACTCCAGCCACCAAAGTTCCCATGGAAGCTATGTCCTCTATGCGAGGGTCCATTACTCAGGTATGCATCACACTGCATTTTATTTCTTTCCAGGTCTGTGCAAGTTGGTAGTCTAACCAATAGTTTTACTATCAGTCATATTTACTTTGCTGTTGTGTTTCACAGGGTACTCCAGCAATGTCACAGTCTGGTATTGCTGCCGATGTCTTGTTGAAGACGACCATCACCAGACTGGCTACAGAGGACATCAGTAGTCCGGAGAGGTGTAGAGAAGAGTCCTCTGCCAAAGGCCATGTCATTTATGAGGGAAAGAGCGGGCATATTGTTTCCTATGATTGTGAGTATAAAGATGGATTGTTCCCATTATTTCATATGATAGAACATTATCATCAGAAGTAATCTTCAGGGTAACAGTCAAAAATGATGCTGTTAATAACTTAAATATAGAAAGTCCTGTTGGCTAAATCAGTCTGCTTTGTAAGGTAATATATTTCCTTTGTTCATGTTGATTGTGATTTTCTTGTTTTACAGAATTAGGCCTCATGCACACGGCAATCAAATCTGTGTAAAAACCTTACGGATTCTTGCAGCAGGAATTCCACGCATGTTCGCACAGATGCGGCCGCTGTGCCTATTCAGGTTAATGACAGGGTGACATCGGGCACATCTGTCCGTATGTAATCGTACATGGTACTATTACCTGCAGATCGGGAGAGATGTTTGTCCTGGAATGCGAAGAGCTTTATTTGAATGGGCACAGCAGCTACAGCTCTGCAGACACACTTGGAATTTCTGCTGCAAGAATCCATAGGCTCTTGCCGCAGGATTTTCCAGGCACAAATGTCATGTACCTAAGTCTTTTTTTATATTTAATATTTACTTTTGTGCATTTTGTTTGTATAGTGTGTTGTGTATGCTACTGGCGTGGCAAATTGTTTCAGTAGAATTATGGTCAAAAGTTAAAATCGGATATGTTAAGCAGGGTGCCCATACCCAAGACAGCACTTTTTTTTATTTTTTTTGTAAAGCCCCACTCTAAAGGTGCCCATACACTGCTCGATTCTCATACGAGAATCGGGCAAAATGTCGCGATCGTACGAGAATCGAGCAGTGTGAACGAAGACATGCGACCGTTTCTACTGTACGGTCGCACGTCTTTTGTCGAACCAACTAGCAGGTTTCTAGCCTGCTCGTCCAATAGCTGCGGAACGGGCCGGTGTGCGCACGCGCACACTGCCCGTTCTGCATTGCGGTCATCGGAAGCCCGCCCCTCAGCGGGGCGGGCTTTCGATGATCGCAAGTACGATCTGCCCGTCCAAGGTGGGCAGATCGTACGAGCTTTCAATAAGCATACGACCATCGCAAGACAAAAGTCTTGCGATGGTCGTAAGGTGTATGGGCACCTTAAGAATAGTGTTTGAACATGGTGATCCTACTAGTAGAACTCTTGGATTTCCCATGTCAGTAAGGTGACAGTTCTCTTTCCTCTGTAGTGAAATTACTGCAGCATGTCACCCTTTGCAGCCACAATGCCCTATGCCCATCTTTTACCATGTCCTTAAGTAATTTACAGCACACAGCTCCATTCTGGGCTAAGTTGACATGCCCACATACATGTGCCCTTGCAGCTCCTCCACCCACATTGCTCAAAATATCAAGTATCAGCAGCAGCTTGTACATCAGGGAAATTACATGCAGGTGCTGCTGAATCTCAACCACTTTCTCCTTCTCTGAGCAGGTGTGGCTGGCTTGGAAAGAATTATTCCAATTTCACACCTTTGCCAAGTTTTATAAGGTGGATGTTTTGGCATCTGCGGATGCTGGTTTGGGGCGCAAAGTGTTGCAGGCGGCCGTTTGAGGGGATTTTTTTGTTTTAAGTTGGGTTTGTTGTTTCTGTTGGCCCACCCCTCTTTTCTGGTACTGCTCTGTGACGTCCCTACAGTACAGGATCTCCGATCTGTTCCCTGTGTCCTTCAATGAACGGGAGAGAAAATAGGATTTTGGTACTCACCGTAAAATCCTTTTCTCTCCGTTCATTGAAGGACACAGGGCCCGCCCCTCTATATGGGTGTGTACTCCTTTACTGCTTGTTACTAAACTGGAGACTTGTCAGCAGGTGGGGGGTTTTGGCCACCGGCAGGGGCCGCCCCTAGGCTGTGATTGGTCTTTAGTTTTGTGCCTAGCGTCCTTCTCCTGCAGGTGGCGATATTACCCTACAGTACAGGATCTCCGATCTGTTCCCTGTGTCCTTCAATGAACGGAGAGAAAAGGATTTTACGGTGAGTACCAAAATCCTATTTTTTCAGGTAAACAAAAGCATTGATAAAATGAAAAGGGCATTTTACCTTGGCCATGGTTAGCAATCATGAATGGAAAAAATTGCAGGGTTTGGATGAATTTTAATGACTTATTCAGTGGAGGAGGTTAGTGACTTTCCAGTGCAGCATGGTCATAGGGACATTCTTTCAATTCCCAAAATTAGAGAACAATTTTGACATGTTGAATTGCAGTTTCCTGGGGGGGGGGGGGGGTCAAAGCCCGTGTTTGGGG